AAAAAATACCAAAAGACATGACAGATGTGCAGATGTGCTATTTAAAGATGACCTATATTGAAAGGTGTTGTACAGTCATATTGTTCGGGTGGAGTATGGCCTGACAGTATAAAAGCTGTTTTGGTCCTCAGCACCACAAGAGGACACCAGTAAACTGTGCTGCAGTATTGCCTCATATTACAGGGTCAGGAAACCCCCTGTTTCAGCACTGGTTAGTTCTCACCAGTTTTAAAAAACGCTAAAAAAAAATAAACAGACAGACAACACACAGCTTCGGGTTTCATTTCGCTCCCATCGAGTTAAAAACACAAATAAATGCACTGCCATTTGCACTCTGCATCGAAAACATATAGGCAATAGAAGATATTTATACTGTACATATTGCTATATTAACTATATTACACTGAAAAAAGCTTTCATGGGCAGCCTAGAATAGCATGCACTTTCACAGCAAAATAAACGTTTTTTTCTTTATTGAATAGTGAAAATAAAGCCCTCTTGTTTCTACACTGGTGACTCTTTTCAACTAACTTTTTTATTTAAACCAAACAAGGCTGTAATCATGTCTAGAACATCGGAGGGACCAATAGTTTTGAGGAAAATATAAAGACCAGACCACTATGGTAATAGTATTTATTTAAAGAAACTAAATAGATAAATTATTTAAATGGATTTAGGGGAATAAATTAAAGAAAGATAATCAATCTGAACTGCAAGAAATATTTTTATTTTAAAATATGCACCCATTCAATTTAATTTGTATTGTTGAAAATGCACAACTAAAAATGCTATTGTCGTCATAATCAATTATAAATTAGCCTACATGAATCATGTAAATGGCAGACCTTATTTTCCATTCAAAACCCTGGAATTCGACAAAAAAATTTAATTGTTTGCATCACTGGATATTGTTGGTCATTTATGTCGGGGAACGCATACGTTACAGCCCAGACTCTTTCACCGCACAAGCTTTTTACTTTCAGTTTTCATTCTGATATTCAGCATTAACAGCAATCCAAAAGGGGTAAGCTTTCAACTGATCTGAATAGCCTACATGCATTTTCGATGCTCCATGCACATTATTGAATGAGCGTTTTTTTTAGAACATTATAGTGAGCTATATGACACATATTCATGAAGCCTATTAAACTCCCCGTAACTCGCAAACTCCCCGTGATAGCACTCAAATATCTCGTTGTCAGCCTCTGCTTTTCTGCAACAGACTGAAGCCTCGTGAATTCAGCGTGCCTTGCATTCAGCTAATAAAAGAAAAATGCTGCAATTTTCTGGTGTTATTGTATTATTGTTGGGGCAGTCTCCAGCTATATCTTAAACTTCTTAAAATACAGTCCACTTCAGATTGGTTTTAATTACTGCATAAAAAAACGGAGTGTCTACTTAGTGCAAATAGCCGCTGCCTAAAAAAATGCAATCTTTATCCAATTCTGATTGGGTGGGCAAGACTGTCATTCAGATAATAAAAGAAAAATGTTGCTGTCTCTATAGTCCATTGCCACGTCACAAATTGTGACTTCAACACGATGTAGATTTTAAACCCGGAAGATGAAAATAGTGCAAAAAAGCTTAAAATTAGCCAGTTTTCTCCAACAGTTAGAACTATCCAAAGCTAACATTGTCTTCTATGATGTGCAACACAAACACCTTTTCTAAAAAATCTCAGAATAAATAGTCTGGGGTTTCATGACCCTTTAATGTCTGTTAAAGCAAGAAAAAAAACTTTTATGTAAAAACAAAAACCACACACACACACAGCCACTGTCTCCAAAATTATTTAATTATTCAATTATGACAGACACAGCAATGCATCATATTCTATACGATCGTCATGTTTGTAGTGTGTTCCAGGGATTAAAATTTACAATATATATTTCAGACCTAGTGGAGTAATAGTAACTAAGTTGCATAAAATGGAAATACTCAATAAAGTAGGCTAAAACTACCTCATATGTGTAGGCTACTTAATGGTTGGATTCCACAACTGATAACATAAAACATATACAACATTTACTTACATACATCATTTTCTATTGCGCTTCTGAATTGGCTGTGTATGAGATTCGCCAATTTTTGCACTTTTGTGTTTAATTACCAGTCAGGGTTTTTGGGAAAATGATAAAAGGCAAGATTTTTACTGTCACACTGCTAGTTTCTGCAGTTGATTGCCGAACACTGTGTTCTTTTATTCCACTTTGACTTCTCTTTCGTTGTCATTCGGGTGTTTGTGCTGTTATTCACTTGGCATTTTCACCCCAAAATGGCAGCAGCGCTACCGAAGCACCACCTGGTGTCTGTTACCCAAAAAGCATCAGAGTTTCGCCTCTTGGGCTTCTATACGCTTTGTGTAAAGGTCCTGAAGGTTAGGCAGGGGAGGGGGCGCACCAATAATCCTCTAGTCTCCTGATGTCTGGTTACTAAAAAGCTATGATTTTTATTTGTTTACTTGCATATGTGTGACCATTAACCAATATTGGAAAAGAGTGAACTATGTTTTGGACTTAAAGTAGCCTAAGTATTTTAGCTCAAATATGGTCGGTAGAAGACAGTTTCACTATACACCATAATGGTTTATTACCAGATATTTTTTTTTATGTCAAATCACTGCATAAAATTTGTGGGTGCAAGGGCTACCAAACCCTAATAAGAATATAAATGTAAAGTACAGGATAAGAAAATCTATGTATTTTCATACAGTGTGCTCTCGTACAGTGGCGCAGGCGTACGGCTGCACTGTGCGCACGAGCTCTCAGACTGACCTGAGATTTGCCCCGCAAACATTTCAGCAGTTATTATAGGCCTGTGTGTGTGTCCAGTATTTCTGATAGACTGAACCAGCCATGCCATTAATTATGAATTCATCAGTCTTTTGCATGCCAACTTCAATTTCTGCATGTAAATATTACGCCAAATAGAAGCAGAAAATCGTGCTATACGCACTTGCAGGAGATCGGTTTAGACTACAGCAATACATTTGTTGGCTATTTTACAAATGGAAATACAACCAATTCATGACAGTGTTTTACATTCAAGCTACCGTAAAATTCATAGTGAAAAGTACTTTAAAAGCGTATGGAATGCAATAAAGTAATTTTTTTTAAAGCTGTTTTTAAAGCAGTTGCTGCATGACTAATAAAAAAGGCTAATAAATAATTCACATATCAGACAAAATTGCGTTGCAGCAAATCCTTTACATTTTTAGGTATTCAGAACAGAGCAACATAAAAAAATCAGAAAATATAATCATCTATACAATTATAGGACAACGTTTTACATGTAAGCCATTATAATGTTTTATTTTTTTAATTATACAGAATTATAAAATAAAACGCAAATTATAATCGGGCCCTGCATAGGCTTTTCCTTATTTGTATATTTTAGACATCCATCAATTGGTGATGAAAAATATTACTCGCCATCTCCTCATTGGATGCGCCTTTAGAGAGAATTGCATCTTTACAGATTACATAATGAAAGAGTTTCTATTTTCGATTTGAATTATTTCCTTTTAAAGTAATTTTAATCTTTCTATATATATATATTTTTTTTTTTTAGAGTTTAGGTTCATCATTGTGATGCGCTCCTGTTCAGCGTTTGTTTTCTTTATTTTATAAAAGCACAACGTTTTGTTGATATTGTGAGTGCACACAAATAAAACTAGACCCTTTACAGTTTAGAATGAGGTAGCCTATTACTCTTACCTTTATGAGCAAAAATGACTGCGTATTTAAAAAAAAAATGACTGAGTCTTTTCCACCTTCTCTTTGGGAGAAGGGGGAAAAGACGGGCTCGGGCCTATTGAGGCCCGTGCAGGGCTCTAACCCACTTCATCCAACGCGGTTTTGTTCTCTGTTGTTTTCATCTGTGAGCATGCTCTTGATATATGTATTTTACCATTTTGTTGAGTTTAAAACGTGACACACATTCGTTCTGATCTAACTGATCATTTGGGCAGAACGGGACATAATACAAACATTTTCGAGAAATAAGTAATTTGTACATTACATAATTGATAAGGGAAAAGATTGTGTATGTATGTGAATGCACCATGAGTTCGAGTCAACTTTCATTTCCTGAACAGATTACTGCATTTGATTCACCCAAACACACGTAAGTTTCAAATGCCACTGGCTCAATTAACAAGCTGTATAGTAATAATAGTAATGTAGACCTTAGTTGCATTTTACGTGATATTATAAATCCTAAACTTAAATAGAAGGTAATCTTTGGATTTCTCCTGCTCTCTGCACTGGTGTTTAACCAGAAGTATATGCACACACTGGCTAGACCGGAAATCTAGCACCATTGCAGTGAGAAATCACTTGAGGTGTTTTTTTTCACATCACAGGGTAGTGTACCTTGGCAGGACACTGCGATATATAAATTTAATTGTTCACAAGAGCAATTTTTTTTTATTCAGAATACAATATAATACAGACAAAGCTCCTTTTTGGTGCATAAAACAATTTGCTTTGGTTACAGTGCAACAAGCTTATATAAAAAATGTATAAAAAATAAAATTAAAACATTAAACATTAAAAAATACAATATTTTCAACTAAAAGTAACAACATTTTTAAATATTCGAATGACATCTTTCAACTTGAGGTACTTGTTGCAACTGTACAAACAATATCAAATATTGATGCTGAAGATGCTTTTATAAGTCTTTAGATGCATAAAGAAACAGTTTTAAGTGTCTCTGCAAGCATTCTTTGTTTGCTGTTTGTCCAGATCCTCAAAAAGAACTTGGTACACTCTTAAAAATAAAGGTGCTTCACGATGCCATAGAAGAACCTTTTTGTCTAAATGGTTCCATAAAGAACCTTTAACATCTGAAGAACCTTTCTGTTTCACAAAAGGTTCTTTGTGGCGAAAGAAGGTTCTTCAGATTACAAAAAGGTAAGAAAGAGATGGTTCTTTAAAGAACCTTTGACTGAATGGTTCTTTGTGGAACCAAAAATGGTTCTTCTATGGCATCGCTTGAAGAACCTTTTGAAGCACCTTTATTTTTAAGAGCCTGAACTTCACACGCGTCTTCTCTTCAGGGTCACCTTTGACAACATGTCTGCAATAACAACACCACATCTGTAGTCCTCGTTGTCCTGCTGTCTTGCCATTTCCCTTTCCTGGTCCAACCTCTCCAATCTCTTCAAAAGAACATCCTTGGTGTTCCGTTTTCTCTTACATGCAGAGCCTGGCAGCGATTTAGGGGAACAAACGGAGATGCTTTGAGGAAAAGATGTATCTGAGCAGAGAGAGGTTGTACATGTAGGAGCTGCTGGCAGCGGAGGAGATAGGTCAACCTTCAGTAGCCTACTGCTGCTTTCCTGCCAATGATTGGAGGCCACACTACCTTCCTCCTAAAATTAAAAAACAATGTTACGTCCCAGGACGTATGAATTTGTGTTTTATAATCATGGTGTGTGTCTTTCATGATATGCTGCTAGTGGACCCAACGGCCTTCTGGGAGTTGTAGTTTTTGTTGTATCCTATGTTCTGTGCTTCTCCCTGTCCTAATCTAGGTGATTGGACCTACCAGCTGCTACTCGTCATTGTCAAAAGGAACCAGTATATAAGAAGATCAAGAGAGTGAGCCAGTGAGATGTTCCTTCTCCCAAGAGCATGAGTGTGTTGTTCTGATTTACGCTTAATATGGGTGTTATGGCTGTAGTGTGCAGTCTTGTGTATTAAGCCTAAATTGAAAACCAAACTTGAATGTGATTTGGCTGTAGTGCACAGCTTTTGAGGTGTTTGCTTTTTTTTTTTAGTGCTGTAGCAGTAGGGAGTTGGGTGCCATTTTCTTTTGTCTTCGTTTTCTCCAGTTTTTGCTAGTACGGAAGTTCAATTCAAGTTTATTTGTACAGCGGTTTTCACGATACAAAACGTTGCAGAGCAACTTTACAGCAAATTAAATTTCTACAATATTTAGTGGTAGCTTGTCAGTGGTGACTCAGTTAATGTACAAGTCAGGTAAGAATTGTTATTTATTTTAATCCTTGGAGGTTAGCTAGATTTCTTTCTTACATGTGGTAATCATTTGTTTATTTTGGCCTTAACCACTCCACTCCTGAAGAAACTGTTTGCTTAAATCTTTTTGCACTGTGTGTCCTCATTTAGTTTATTGTAAATGCATTTACTGGCACCTTACTTTGTGTACCGAGTGCTGGGACTGAGAACAGTTCAAACCTTTACTTTAAAAGTTTACTTCCCTTTTGCTCCCTAGACATCTGATGTATAAAATAAAATCTGAGCACATCACTTATCTAAACATACCCAATTCATGGGTATTTTTTTTTCTAGTTTAAGCTAACAATGGTGTGTTTGGTTAATCTTTCTCTAATGTTTGTAAGAGGATCACAGCTATTAATGCTTCAGCACAAATCTTTTCACTGTAAATTAAATGTGTAAGCAAATTTTGTACTCCAGAAACTGAAATCAGAGACCTAGCAGCTGGACTAATAAAAATCGACATTGTGTTGTGTGGTAACTCAAGTTATACGTTTTTAAAGTATTCACTCACCTCATAATCCATCGTTGAATCCGTTTCCCGGTGTTTCACAAATTGTGATAACCAGCCAAGCTCTGAGAGGATGGGTGACGCATGTTTGAATCCAGCTGGGTCTCCACTTTTACCATGAACTCTCTTGTTTGCCTTTTCAAACTGATCTCTTAAGTTCTTCCAGACTTTCTTGCAAACACTTTCTTCCTTTCCCACGGTGGCTGCAATTTCTCGCCAAGAGTTCTTTGCCATCTGGCCGTCTCTGTGAGCACGCATGGACGGATCATAAAGATGTCTGTACAAGCGTACCTGTTCAGCCAACATTTGTTCGAAGTTGTTCATGTTGACTGCGGCGCCGCGCGAACTGTTCGCTCGAGTCACAAACGCTGCGTTCGAAATCGCGTACTGCTTGAGTGCTACATTTGAATTTGAACTTACTTCCAGACCGTTAAAATGAACGTTCTATAGTATGAAAGGAATTCGGAAGTACTACATCCGCAATGTTGATGTTGTCATCACAGCGCGAAAATGTAAAGCGGCCACTCTGCTGAACGAACGTCGGCGGTGGTTTTCGATATTCTCACGGCTTGCGTCGGCGTTTTAACGTCGTTCGAATTAACAACTCAGCCGCCGCCGTTTCTCCAGAACGGCTGCACGTGCTCTGATGACAACCCAGCTGTTCCACGATTGGCCAGATTCACCGCGTGACAATCACGTGTGTTTCGGTTTTGTTTTTATACAGTCTACGGTTTATTCTAACATCTTCAATTCCAGTAATAACAACATTAAAAGCTTTTTTTTTTTTTTTTTTACTGTAGTCGCAATGTTGAGACACGTTTATCAAAAAACACTGATAAAAGCATATTTACTCCACTTTATTGGTATTTAAATAGTATTAAAAAAATACTTGAAATTCAAATAGTATGTTTATAATACATTTGTATTTCCAACATGCTTATTTGAAGTGCAACAAAAAATATATTGAATTGCATTTTAATATAGTTCTAAAAAGTATACTAGAAGTACTTTTGTATATGCTTGGTTATAATTCTAAGAAATATGCTAAACAGAAGCATACTTTTAATGTATTTATAAAAAGTATACTAGAAATAATTTGGTAATAAATATATGCTTAGTTACACTTGTAAGGAATATGCTAAACACAAGCATACTTTTAGTGACTTTTTAGTGTATTTACAGAAAACATACTCATGTTACCCTTACTTAAAGTATTTTTTATGTCTACTTTGTGTAAGAACATAACAAAATTATTTCACTTTTAGTGGGTTTTTAATGTACTTTATATTGCAGTAGGCCTACACATGGTTATATTTTAAATATTTATGTATTTATAATTTTAATATTTGGAAAAGTACAATATTTTGAAAAACATTTTTAACATTTACAATGTACAAACCTTTGTCAACTATTATTAAGCATTGCGATATTTAAAATATCTTGTTTAATATGTTGTTCAGTTTTACTTAAAAGGTTATGTTCATTACATGATACATTAATTATAATAAGGTGTTTATAAATTTGTTAAAGCTTGACGCATTTATTTTCTAATATATATTTCTGAAATTCCCACAAGGATTTCAACATCATATATGAAAAAACTTGCGTTTACTTGTGTTTAAATTCAAACACACTGACTAAACCTGATTGGTTCCAGGTTCCAAAATATGATGTGCGTGTCTCTTGAATGTGAATATAAGTCTAAATGTAAACAGTATTATATAGAGCGGTCGCCGATCGTGTCTCTTTAGGGCACTTGGAGGAAACCACGCAATTCATATGGATTACTTTGGCGATGGTTTTTTGCGATTTCCACTTTTTGAAACGTGAACATCTTTGGTGAATCTTCTTTCATCGGAGGGACATAAATCTCTCAGATTGTTTATTCAAATATCTCAGCTTTTCTTTTGAAGACGAACGAAAGTCTTTGATGGTTTGGAGCATCTTAAGGGTGAGTGATGACAGAATTCAAATTGTTTTGGGGGAACTATGAAATTAATTAGAAAATATAGCGGTATGTTCTTATTTTTAGCAGCTTCTGCAAGCATGTATGGCGTCTGGCTTTTGGAACCTCACTGTGACTTCAGGTAAGATTTAATTAACCTTATTTGTCTGTGCCAGTCATGTTTCTGACACATGCATTGACAGAAAAAAATAAAATACAATTAGTCATTATAACATGTACAACATTAACATTCTTTTATTTGCAAATAGAAGTTGTGCATTTATTTATTTCTGATTTCCTGAACAATTTGGCTTCATTGTAATGAGGTTAATGAACTTACAATTACTTTGTCTTGAGCTGATTAGCCAACTGTGGTAGTGTTCGTTGATTGGTGTTTATATTTGTTCAAGCTTGACAACCTTTATAGCCTTTATTTTGTAATATATATTTCTCATTACAGATAAGAACAAAAGATTAAATTGTAAGAAGGGTTGCTTATATGAGAGCATACAGTACATCTGAAACTGCTGAGGCTGGGAAGGTTTTTGACTATATTACCGACCAGGTACATTGTTCTCAGTGTACTGTCATTCTTAAAAAGAAAACAAATCATCAATCATCATTTGCTTTTT